CTGTTTAATGAGATCTATATTCTAAATGTATACAATGGTCTAGTATTGATGGGTGATATATATGGTTAATGAACTTATACTCCTCGAAAGTAACGAAATTGACATTTCGCCTAGCTAGACTAAGTTTTTTGCCATTAAAATAGATAAAAGACAAAGTTAGTTTCGGGGGTAAGTGTCATTAACTCTGATTTAGAAAACATAAATTAAATAATAATATACATATATATATCATGATCAATAATAATTAAAATAATGATAAAATACTTCTAAAAATGACAAGTTTGATGGAGCTTTTTAATTAATTACCATGTTCATAGACGAAACAGTCAAAGCTCGAGCAACCAGGTCCACCATTAAGCCATAAAACAACAGGATCTTTTAATGGCTTTCTCTCTGATACAGTAAAGTAATAGAAAAGATTCTTTGAAGCATTTCCACCACCTATTGTCACATACCTACAAATCCCACATCACAAATTCCCATCAAACTACTTCGCCTAAATATAATTTTCAATAATATTACAAATAAATTTTGTATTATTTGAGAAACAATGATACAATGGTCCTCTTTTACATATAACAAAATTCTAAAAAAGAAAAAAAAAAAGTTCTCTCGATTGAACATAATCTTCGATGTTGCTCGATTTTAATGTGTAGTATGAGATTATCATCTTTTGGTCTAATCTGTACAACTTTATTTTCTAATATCATTTGAGAAACGATAAATCTAATGGTCTTCTATATATAAAACAAAACACCATTTAAAAAAAAAACAAAAAAAAAAAAAAAATCAGTCAAACATAATTTTTTTGTTCTAATTTATTATTGTATTGTATGAGATTGTCTGTTTTTGATCTAATCCATACAATTTTGCTTTTAAAATCATCATATATATAAAAAAAAATTGTACCATATGAAAAAAGATGATTGTATGATCCTCTCTATATATCACAAAATCCCATAAATAAAAAAAAATAAAAAAAATCTCAATATGTAATTCCAATGACTAGATCTCGAGTATTACATGAATATATAATAGAATGATACGCAACTTTAGATGAACTTACCCTGAGTAGTGTTTGGAGGGGAAAGTGCCATTGAAGCCAGGAAGTTGAGTGACCAAAGTGTTTCTGGGAGCAGCTTCAACAAGCAATATTGCAAAATTCAGAAGCAATATGGAAAGGGATAAATTATTGCAAAAGATGAATTTATTCTTGGCCATCATCACAACCACTTTGATGCAAAATCCACAAGCACTTTGATGGAAAATTCAAAAGCACTTCGATGCAAAATTCAAAAGCACTTTTTCTATCAAACAGGTTGAATATTGTTTAACCATATGAATGGATATATAGAGAAGTTTTAGAGCTATTACTTTTAGTTAATGGTGTGTTTGTGAGAAAGAGAAAGAGAGAGAGAGAAGACAAGGAGCTTTCTGACAAGAACTTCATGCAAAAAAAGAAAAATGGAGAATCAAGTAGAAGAAGAAAAATTGTTGGCATTTGGCAAAAAAAAAAAAAAAAAAAAGAAATTGACAGAGAAATATTCATTTTAATCCTTGTAGTTTAGGCTAACTAAGTTTAAGGAAATTATTTGAAATACTACCATTTTAATCCTTTGACTTAATTGACTGTTACTTGACTTTGAAAATATGTTGAAATGACGAAACTACCCTTATAAAAATAATTTTAAAGGTATTACACGAACAACTCGACTGTTGAATATGTTTATGTACCAAGTTGAAGGGAAACAGTTTGAATTTAGATCATTATTGTTTGTTTCATTATTTTTTATAGGGGTAATTTTGTTATATCAATATGATTTTCATGTCAATTAACGGTTTATTAAGTCAAAGGATCAAAATGTTATTATTTGAAACAAAAGTCCTTCATTAAACTTCTCTAAAAATAACAGAATTATTGGAAGGAGTGAAAGTTCTTCGCTATGTATAAAAGACAAATATTAAAACTATTAATATTATTAAAATATTATCATATATTATGGATCCGTAAACGTTATTTCAATCTGGTTTGAATGACGTTAGTATTATTAATACAGTACCTGATATAATAAGACAGATTTATATTATGTGGTTGCGAAAACCAAGGGCTTCACCAGGTCATTCTCAAATGTATATCACAGGATTCTTAAATCAATATTTATTTCTTCAAATAAATAATTAGGTTTAAAATAAATAATTTTAATTATGTGGGTGTGAAAACCAAGGGCTAGCACCAAGGGAGCAAGCATGCATGGTCAAGAAAGGGCTTGACAGAGAAGATGAAATTGGAGCCAACTCATGTCCAATTAATATTGTCTTGGTTGTATTAATGATTAAATACTTTTTGATGGAATGAACAGTTTAATTACATGAATTAAGAGAAATTTATTCTAATGGAAACATAATTAAACATTCATTTTGAAATATAATATTATGTTGTCTTAGTTGTCTAAATTGATATGTGCTTTTGTTCTTATATTATAATATTATGGTTAAGTAATAAATTTATCTTACCATCTAAAGATTTATATTTACTTAAAGAGAAAATAACATCTATATTTTACATATAATTTTAAGAGTTAGGTCAAACCAACAACGTCAGCATGTCTAGGAGGTTTGAAATCCAACAAACACACCCTTGTGATCTAAGCAGGAAACCATGAAGCAACTAGGTGACGACGACAACAATCGGCGGCCAATTGAAGTTCATGGTGATGGGGGTTTTAATGTGGAGATGAAGGTGATATTGATGGTGGTGTCAGGTGGGGTGGTTCGTGTTGGAAGTTACCAGAATCAAGGAGGATGCTGTCGGTTTTTGCGAAGCAAATAGTTGGGCGACGACAACAACGATCAGCGGCCAATTAGACTTCGAAATGATCGGGGTTTTGATGTAGAGATGAAGGTGATGCTGATGGTGGTGTCAAGTGGGGTGATTGACACTAGAATCTATCAGAATCAGGGAGAAAGTCATCAGAATCAAGGTTTTGGTGACTAGGTTTTGCAATTTTAGTGACCCGGTATGGGCCTCCGGCCAGTTGGATTGGCGGTTTGCTAATGTTCCACGGATCACTCCAGGTTAATTGATATAGCTAGGTTTATCTTCGGTTTGGACCTGTGAAAGGACCCGATTCTTGGTCCGATCAATCAAACCAGCTGAGTCAAGTCGGGTTTCAAAACATTGATATATATATTAAGTGATATTATACATATAACTTTGATATATATATATATATATATAACACATACACGAATTGAAGTAACATTACTCTTTCATTATCATCATTTATTAAGTATTTAAGGAATTCATTTTTTATATACATTATTATATCAATAATCTTACACATATAAAGAAATCTTATAAAGATTTTCATACAAAATGAGGTGACAAAAAATGAATGGAATAGTGAAACAAAAATTTACATTCATTATATTCACTCTTCTTTTTATTTTTTGCCACATCACTTTATATAGAGATCTTTGTAAAAATTCTTTGTAAGTGTAGTATTACTCTTATTATATTCATTTTGTGTCACATGACTTTTTATATAGAAGTTTGTATATCTTGTATTATTAATCTAAATTTGTAGTCCATTATTAATTTATCACTTGAATGATGATATGAATACAAATTAAGTACACACATCTAATTCATTCTCTCCTTTGAACATCCTTAACTTTTTTTTTTTTTTTCTTTTTTTTTTCTTTTTTTAATCTGTAGGTCCATTTTATCCACCAAGAATGCACTGCAAGACATTTTTTTTATGTTCTTGTGAGAAAATTGGTTAAAATTTTGTCTTGCCATAAATTGTTATAGTCAAGAATAACAATAATATTATGCATCCCAAAACTCATATTCAATATGATGTGTAATTATATGCAGTAATGGTCTGAAACTCGACCCGAGGTATCACACGACCAAGGGGTCGGGTTTTGGGTTGACTGGTTAAATCGGTGGTCTAACAAGTGATCCAAAAAATTTAAAATCTAGCAAATATACCCTTGAGAAATACTACCAATCCCTACAGGTTTGAAACCCAACAAACACACCCCTGCGATAATTAGGTTTTTCCTTTTCCCAGCCAAATTCTGACTAATTTCGACTACCAAAATTCAATATGTCATCACCACCTGAACCATCGGCTTCCACTCTACAAAACCCATCTAACTCAACATTTGCTAGCCCCCCGTTTGCCAGTCGTGACTCGCATATTGGGTTGATTTTTCTAGCCAAATTTCGACTGATTCCGAAAACCAATATTCAATTCGACACCACTACCTGAACCACCGACCTCCACTCTACAAAACCCTCTAACCCCGACACTTGGTGCCCCCTGTTCACCAGTAGTGACTCGCTTATACCTTGATTTTTTCAGTCAAATTCTGGCCAATTCCAGCGTCCAAAATTCAATCTGACACACCCTTGAACTAGACCTTCATTCTACAAAACCCCTATAACCATGACACTTGGTAGCCCCTGGTTCGTCGGCAATCAGGTTAGGGATTTTAGGATAGTTGAAAGTGGTAACTCGGCCTAGAGAAGGCCTCGGGTCTCGATCTAATCGGTTAAACCAGCCGGGTTAAGCCCGATTTCAAAACAGAGCTATGTAGTGATGAGATGTTAATAAAATAATGATTTGCAATATGACATAACAATACTAAAAGGCATGACACATCATTGGAGATGTGAATTTTGGAATATAATTTGGAATGTGTATTACTCGAAGAATAAACATCCAAATTTTAATAAATCAATAGGTCCGCACCTGAAATTTTTTGTACAAAACTCGTGTATTTTTTCTACCGGACTAGGATAAAGGTAAACCTCAAGGGGTCTAAGGTAATTCATCCTAATTTTTGAGGGTTTGTAAAATAAATAAGTTCACTTATTGGATATTATTACCTGGTGGATCTCATCTCATCTCATCTCAAGTGGCAAAAATCTAAGTTTGGAAACAAAAATAAGTGGTGCGCATGGGCACAAACCTTATCCAAAATAAAGTGCAAAAAATTGCAAATCACAAAAACTCAAAGTTCATACCACATGCTTTGTAGTGGTACGTACCTCAATTATGGAAACACAAAGACATGAGTGCTTCTATTTCCTCTGCTCTCACCACAACGCCTTCACCGGTGGCGCCGGTCGCCACCGTTGGCCGCCGCAGTAAAAGCCTTTTCACCTCCAACCCTTTTACCACCCCATATCATCGTCGCTGCCGCCGCCGCCGTCATCACCCTTTTTTACTACGAGGTAAATTTCATACGCTCTTATTTTCATATAGTTTTTTTTTTTTTTTTTTTAATTTTAATGCGAACTCTCTACGAAAGCCGTAATTCTAGATAAATTTAACGAAATGGGTTAAAAAAAATTCTATTTCTTTTTTTTTTCTTTTTTCTTTTTTTTTTTTTTCCAGTTAAAAATGAATCAAAGAGGACTGAATTGTCTCCTGAACGTACAATGCAAAAATCTGAAGCTGATAAAATTGTTGATGGAATGGATTTTGGTGAGCTTTGCAATGAGTTTGAATGCATTAGCAGTCCCTTAGTAGAATCCACAGCAAGACAACTTGTTCGCGACATCCTTGAGCTTCGCGAGGGCAATCGCTCCCTCGGAACCTATGCAGTTTCTGTGAAGTACAAGGTACTTTCAGTTTCTTCCTGCACAACGAAACTGTTTTAGTGTAGCACGAATGCAGGACGACACCAAACTAATAATTAATGGAAAGTCTTATAGAAGAAAGAGAATTAGTATATGATCTATCCGAAGCTGCCACCGTTATGAGAATGATGTATAATTACTTTTTAATTAGGTAAAACGATTATTCGATTCTTTTTTTCTTTTTTCGGATCATAATTTAAGAAAAGATAACTTCTCTATTTACCCTATGGAAAAATTCTTTGAATGTTCAACTTCGATCGAATCAGAATAGTTATGTGGCTATTAATTTTTGTTTCTTCTTCATTTGCTGTTAAATCTCATGTTTTGGTAGTAATTGCAGGATCCTGTCAGAAGTTTTAGTGGCAGGGAGAAATACAAAAGACCCTTGTGGATAACGAGTGCTCTGGAGAATCCTTCTGTGGTGAGAAAACAACTATTACTTTGTTCCTCATTGCTCATCTATTCAATTGATCTTCATTGCTTGTGCGTCCATTCAATCTCAACATTATTCAATTTGAAAGTAGAAAATGAAAACGACATTAAACAGAACCTGAATGATTGAGAATTTCACATTACAATTGATTGTTCATGTTCTTATTTAGTTTGAATTTGCGTGTCATTTTTGTTCTTGTTGATGTAGACTGTGCAGGAAATGGTAATGTTATCGACTAGTGTCTTGAGTATCAAGTGGACGACAAGGGGGAAACCGAAATCTTTTATCGCGAATGTGGGAGGAGATTTGATAGTAAAAATCAACTCCAAGTTCACTTTAAACCAGATCAGTGGGCAGGTGATTGAGCATGAAGAAATCTGGGATTTGTCAGCTTCATCCCCTCTCGCTCAATCATTTTTTTGGGCGTCGCGGCGTTTATACGCCACTACTGAGGCCGGAAAAGATCTTGCCGATCTTATCAAGAACTTGAAAAGCCGAATTTCAACAGCACAAGAGAACTTGGAGATTTATCCTGACCCTTCTGGTGATCCTACAAAGGTGAGTTTATGCTTGAAACTATCCTGAAAGTTCTGCTTTGGTTCCGGTTCAATGAATAACATGAATGGAATAGCTATTGGCTGGTTAGGATACTCTTTTATCTTTAGAGATAAAAAAAGGGAGTAAACTTTTTTGTGCTATGTCGTGCTACTTTTTTTGAAACATTTCTGGTTGTTTTGATTGAAAGAATGGAATTGTTCAAGCAAATCTATAGTGTCAAACAATCAGGTGTAACGCTTGAGTTCTAACGCCACGAACTAAAATTAATCACTTAACCCTCTCATTCTTTTTCAATGTGGGATCCTAACATTTTCCCACGCTTCAAGACCCAACGTCCATGTTGGCACACTCTGGACGGCTTCACGCTGGGTGGCCTTCTCTAGACAGCTTCACTTACTGCCTTTCAGTAGTAACCCTCTCCCAGGTCGCCCCTTCCGAAATCTTTCAATAGTAGCCCTCTCTCAGGTCGCCCCTTCCAAAATGTGGGCTCGGGTGGGGTTTGGCTCCGATACTAATTGATAGGAACCTAAGCCTAAACCTTGAGTCAAGGGCTTAGGTGGTTGTGTAGAACTCATCTTGGTAAACCGACTTGCCAAAAGAGAGTATTCAAATCCTTATAAACCACTTAACCTATTCCTTTCTAATGTGGGATCCTAACACCGTGCATCTAAAATTTGTCTTCGAAGTTAAATTATATTCTTTCATTGTCAATTAACTTCATGCATTTTTACTTGCTATTTTTTCAGTTCTTCCAAACAGATGACAACTTCCAGGGAGATTTGTACCAGATTGCTCTGTTTTTGGCAATCCTCTATTTTGTTGTACAGTTCCTGAGGACAACTTTGTGAAACCTGCCTGCTTCTTGGCTATGTAATTGCAGTTATAATTGTAATTATCATATATTACATATTAGTTAATAATTGTAAGATTTTGAGTATATCTTTATAACCACATCAATTTTTTTTTTCTGTTGGTGGGTGGTGTGGAAATCTGGGTATGAAATATATAGTTTTTATTTGTAAGTACTTCTCTCAATTATTTGAGTTCTAGTTTGTATGCTAATGAGCATTTTATTCAAAGATGTTTCGAGAGTTGGAGATTCATTTAAAAGATGAATAGATATCTAATTATTTCTGGGTGACTGAATAGTTTGATAGAGACTCTTAGGTATATTACTCAAAATGTCATAAATTCGAGTCTCTTCCTCTGTTTTAAAAACCAAACCAGACCAGCCGGTCGGACCAGTTTGACCGGGACCGGGTAGCTTCTCCGGTCCAGTTCAGGTCTTAGAGGGTTTTTTGTAATATTTCAAAATTATTAAGGTTAATTTGTAATTTTATAGGGGTGTTTTAGGGATATGTCAAAAGTTTAGGGATTAATTAATATGTTTTTGGGGTGTCTTTGAAATAACTAAAAATTTTAGGAACTAATTAAACTTTTTAGGGGAATTTTTGTAATATATTAAAATTTAAGGATTATATGTAATTTTTTAAAAATAAAATTGTCGCTGATGTCATTGGTCCAACCAAACGGTCTAACCGGTTGAACCGGTTGACCCGTGACCCAGACAGCAAAATAGGTTACCCTCTGATCCGAGTTTTAAAACAATGATCCCTTCTCGATTGCTAATAAGGGTAGCTTTTGAAGCTAGTTATAAGGTCAAGGGGATTAGTTGAGATGCACATAAACAGATTCGGACACCATTGGTCATTAAAAAAAAAAAAAAAAAATGAATAGATGTCACAAATAGGATAGATTTTTATTTTGTGATATTTTAAGAGAGATTTCGAACTATGATTTTCATAATTTTAAAAGAAACTTTATCGTCTTTCAAAGTCAGGAAAGTTTTGAAAGGTAATGATACCCCAAATGAAAGCTACGGTGCCAAGAAAGTGATGTTTATCTCATATGAACGCTAGGAAAGTAACGTTACCCCATTTGAAACCTACAATTTTCTTAATTTTAAAGGAAAATTTTATCATCTTTCAAGATCAAGAAAGTAATGGTACTACTACGATGTCAAGAAAGTGACTTTATCTCATATGAACCCTTGGATCATAATCCAGGAGGAGATTTTTATATCTTTCGAAACCAGGTTAGTAACATTACCCAATATGAAACCTATGATACCAAGAAAGTTACGTTGCAAACCTATAGAGTATGATCCAAGAGGAGATTTCTATAGTCTTCCGAAACTGGGAAAGTAATGTTACCCCATATGAAACCTACTATGCCATGAAATTGACGTTATCTCATATGAATCTTTGGATTATGATTCAACGGGAGATTTTTATGCCTTTCGAAACGAAGAAAGTAAGTTACCCCATATGAAACCTACGATGCCAAGAAAGTGTCGATATCTCATACAAACCATTGGATTATGATCTGAAAGTTGATTAAATCACGATCCATAAACAATCAGAGCATTAAACAACAAAGTATTTCCAATAAGTACCAAATACACTTCGAAAAAAAAAAAAAGTCTGAAATTAGCCCAGAACTTATAATAAGAGAGATTTTCTATTACAACTTCATTGTTCTCAATTCCATATGAGCCAAATGGTCTTGAAATCACTCAATAAAAACGAAAACGCTATTATGACAGTAGCAAAGTAACGTTACCTCTAGTACGTTAACAATAACCAATCAAAATATGGAAAAGGCCTTAACAAATCATCCTCAAATCAGCAACATTTTTCCCATTTCCACTAAAAAATCCTCCTGAGCTCACTACTTGCATGTATACCGAGAACTCGAGAACTGAGGACTACTACTAAACCCTACAACTCATCGCAGTAACTACTTATCCATAGAACTAAGAACATGTTTAAATCTTCCGATGGAAGACAAATATTTCTGAAAGAAGACAGGAAAATCATCGCCCAAGATAACGTATAAAACATAAATCCAAATTAAACACTTTATTGACCAGAATAATTAGAAACAACGGATTAAAAAAAATCAATTCATGGCTTGTATTCAAGAATAAATTATATCGAGCAAGCTTCCTGTTTTTGTTAACTATGGTACAACAAATTAGAAAATGCTGTACCACATTGATGCAAAAGCTAATGTACACAAAAAATTTGCAGCAAAGCAAACAATATTGTCAATAACGTTAAAAAATTTCCAACTTTCAAACCTATAGCTGAAGAAAGATTGTGAGAGCCAACAGAATATACTGTGCCGGTTTTTTCGTCCTTCACTTTGATGCTTGAAGAGCCTGAAAGCAACCGTAACAACATATATGTAAATCAATATCTGACAATAAACTGTGTGCTCTTATAATAACTGAGCTGGCTATGACAGAGAACAGCATGTGGACACACTACTGTTAATAACAAGATGTGTCTAGACTTGCTCGAAGTTCCAGGACCGAGTTATTGCATAATGTTAAGCAACATACAGGCAGACATGATTAATATATAGTGCAATTTTCAATGATCTGGAGATGGGAAAATCGGCTGAAAGATGCAGCGGTTTCTACCCTGATTGGTTTCCTCTTGAAAAGAAGAACTAGATTAATTGCTTCTAAAGAACTATGCTTAAGCTCCCTTTTCCAAAGTTTCACATTCGTAATAACACCTTCACTGTAATCAAAATGGAGCAACTGCTAAATAAAGTTCATAGATTTTATGATCTATATGTACTTGAATGCATGTGTACGCTAAGCACTCGCTAAGTTCTGGTACATAAGTCTGTTAGAGGAAACCCCACAAGGTAACATTTGTTAATATCAAAGGTACAAGTATTTCTTTGATTAAATATCATTATTTTTCTAAAAATGTTGCAATTACTTGGCGTCGTAAATGGTTCTTGAGCCTTGCATTCATGCTTTAAGATTAACCATAAAAGTAGGTGAGCAATTAGACGCATGTCCATGGAAGAGCAAAAGAGTAGAAGACAAGCATCTACACAAATAGCATTGAAGACCAAGCATCCACCATCAATATAGCAACACATCCCATGGTTCAAGATACAACCCAGTAGAGAAAAGGTTGGTTCTTAAAAATACAAAGAGAGCATCCTAATTACATACTGAAGAAAAGATTTTCAGCACCATGCAGATATTTCATTGAAATATAAAAGATACTCACAATTATAGTCAGTCCATCCAATGGTCTGATTTGCTACATCATATACAACTAGTTTGCCAGAAAGCACCAAATCTGCATTAGAAAGAATTGTAAAAATTAATGGACGAACAATGGTGTGCAACCAATCATCTTCTACTTCTCTTTCGTTGTGTAACATAATCCATTGTTAGTCAAATCATCTATCATCGAGGACCGGAGAGTTATATTTTATTGTCAGTCATAAGTATAAAACTTAACCACAAATAAAAATTGTGCAGCACAGCCTATATAACAAGTAAATGAGACAGTAATTTAAGTGCATCATTTCATTGGTGAACTACTTATCCCTCAAGTATCATAAACAAAGTATTTTGACGATTTGAAACTTCATGTTTAACTTGCCTAAAGCATTATAATGGCAGATTATGAGTGTCTAATTTGAACAGTAAGCTTTAGCAATCAAGATTCAAGGATTAAAGCCACAACAATAATCGTGTGCTAAACTTAATTGATGGCTAATTTGGTATGTTTTACCTACATTGACTGAGCAAGAAGGAAACATTAATTTTTCAATAAGCAATTCTAGACGGTACCTCCCAATAAAATCAGCTCCCTCCCATCACGACTTTGAAGACCACCGTTCTGCCAACCAATACACCATATATTTTCCTGTGGAAGGTCATGAAAACAGTATATTAATGGAACACTCATTGAAAATAATATAAAAATTCTGAAGATGGAGTCTTCATTAAGATACAAAACTGCACAAAGACCACTCCGAAAAAATTGATAAAAAAATAACAATGATAATTCCCTACAAAAAAAAATTTGCAATTTTCTGTTTCTTACAACTGGAAGAACAGAATTAACAATCTTTTGTTGATAATGGTGACTGTCAATAGATTATCTATAAAATAATTTTATGAACTAGTTCACGGATTTGAAGCTTACAAAAACACTGATAACAGCGACTTCTTACAACTTCTATGAGCCAAACACAATTAATAAAGTCACAAAAAGGTTTGCAAAACTTCCAAAATTGAACACCATGCGCAGGTCATTCAGAAGATTATTTGATGTATGTAAGAGCATCTAGGTAAACGGATGCACTATAAACAAACAGTTTTTTCAAAATTGTGAAATACCTATTTTCGAGAAAGCCAAGTAAACAATAAATTTCATATCTAGATTGGATTTCCATATATCAATTAAAGTAAATTGAAGAGCAAAGAATCAAAATGACACCATTGTGAGTAATACTCTTTCACGAATTACATAGATTGAATAGATAATTCAAGTCAAACACAAGTTAGATGGTTAAGTTTATCTACAATTTCTGTCTGATATTAGCCTGATTAGTACCATCAAAGGTCTATACCTGGTGCTTCCTGCACTAACTAACTACAAAATAAACCATTACACAAGCATGCCAATCCAAACACTACCAAGATGCCAAGTAAGAAGAAAATTACATAGTTAAGGTATACTGACACAAAGGAGAAAGAGTTAATATTTCAGAATAAGATATCTAGAAAAGTAGAACAGGAACTCCGGACTAACATATCTAGATTAAAAACTGAAAGTTCAGACACTATTCTTCAAAATCAACGGAATATTACTTTCCATGTAGTATTTCTAAAGAATAATGAGTTTAATACATACATGCTCAATCTTAAGCACTTAAGAGAAAGAAACTTGACAGCCGATCATAAATTCAAGCATAGCACATGAAGATTCTCACTAAAATTATAAAAAAAAAAACTTTACTTACACGAATTTTGAAGAAATAATCATGAGGGTAAGCCGTCAAAGTAAGAGAACCATCAAAATGGAAAACAACTGGTGGAAAAGCATCGTCAACACTGCCATAATTGTGCAAAGAAAC